TTTATATATTTTTATTTTTTTACATTATATATATATATATATTTGTTGAACTATCTTTGAAAAAATTCAAACTTCATGTTCCTCAAGGGTGGTTTTCTTGCCATTGTGAATCACACAAGGAAGCTATGTGCAAAAATATCGGCTAAATGATGAGTGCCGAGGTCAGAGGAATGGATTTGTTGGAGCTGTACTTGAGCCAATCAGCTGTTGTGAAAGTATCGATTTTCGGTAAAACAGGCTCGTAAATGAAGTGCAAGCTGACCTTCATAAGTTGAGTCAAGGTAACAGATGACATATCCCTTGTTCATCAGCAAGTACCCCTTTCAAATAGGGAACCATTTTGACGCGGATCCCATGGCTGTTGGCTGTTCGAGTGCCCAGCATGATATGATATTGATCACACTGTATAATACCTAATACTACGTTATGTGAATCATTGGGCAGGATCGACTTATAATCCTTGGTTTTCACGACCTTGACTGCAAATATCTTGTCCAGATGTCAACCTGTTCTTCAACCCACCCTCAAACAAATCAACCGCATGATACTGTATGCTTGTGTTGTTCTTCTTCCACTCATGAACCGCGTTCACACTCATTAGGCTGACCAAGTCCCCCATATGGGTCAACAGTTCCTTTGGGCGTGCGCTTGCACAAGCCGACCCCAACACCATTTTAAACAGGTGGTTCATCGACCGATTAGGTGTTACCGCGCGCACGTGTACTACAAATCCCAGTCATCTTTTGTAGTAACCGAACTGGAGTCCATAAAACCTGACTGCCACAGCCTTTTGCAGATTGGAAGAAAGAAATGGTGCGATGGATGTCTGAAACGGCTAATGAACAACACAAGATAAAATGAAACAGCAATCAATAGGATAGCTTGTTGGCCGAGGCCCGTCCTGGTTGAAACAAACTGACTTTGCTGCAAAATGGTTTTTATCTGTAGAGTAATATATGAACGGACCTCTCAGAATGCACTAAGGAAAACTCCTTTTCAAATTCCGAAAGGGAAAACATACGTCAAAAAGCGACCATACTAGCTGAAGCTTGTGCGAAGTAAGTGAACAGCACACTGGCCAACAGATAATCGGTCAACAACTATTTCGCCAATCAATCGACCAATCAGTCAATCAATCAATCAATCAACCAATCAGTAAATTACTCAGTCGACAAAACAATCAGTTATTCGCCCAATCAATCAGTCGACCGATCAGCCAACACAGCCTGCAAGCAAGCTAAAAAACAGTTCATCTATCAGTCAATCAATCATTTACTGAATCCATTCGCAACAGATTCAACCGAACTAACGCTTCAGGTCACAAAAAAGAACCTATTATAAGGAGCGGAATATCTATGCGTTTGGCAATATTAGATTTACTTAGTTTAGTCACTTTCGAAAATGCACGCATAAAAAACTGAAGGAAACCTGGAGTTATATATAATATGGCTGTGTGGTCAACCGGCTTCAACAATAAATCTGACAACCCTGTAATATTTCAGTCGCACGAGATGACTCGACTTCACCATTAGTCCGCTTTGCCAATAAAACAGACTTTTAAAGTATCCATCAAACATAAGCGTGAATTTCATCTGGAAAAGTAAGTTGACCGACTGTAATGCACTGATTTCAGGCGAACAATCAACGGAAACGAAAATATGGATGGCCGAACAACGTTTGCATTGTTGTTTTACTTACAGCATAAAGTGCTTTTATTGTTTTCGAGAAATACACTCAGTTGCAAATCAGTTTGGTTTTTCACGAGAGACTCAATCAAATTGATTTGCAAATGAGTTTATTTCTCGAAAACAGTCCAGTTTCGGTTCGAGTAGATCATAAGGTTGACAGAAACTCGAAGACTGCGCCTACCTGATGAGCCCAAAGTGGAAGGGCGAAACCGGTCGTGGGCTGTCGAAGTGTTTTCAGCAACCTTGCGAGTAGTTTGCTTTTATTGTTCTTATTTCCTTACTGTTCACATGTACTCGAATATGTATCCTTCTATTCTATAAACCGGTTAATTTTTCTCGGGCATTAATTTTTCCCGGGCATTCCAATGAGCCTATCTTTTTCGCAGTCTACAAAATCATAGTAAATACACCGTGGAGCACTCAGATTTATCATTCGTAGCTGATGTTATGGGCAACCCGGTTGAATCTTTGACTGAGCTTCAAAGGATGGCTGCAAAATTTTTGTCCGTTTCGACCGACGTGTTGCACAAGCGTCCGGCCGGACCAATAGGACAATGAGCTCAAGGTCACATCTGGCTGTTCATTTTGAGTGCACACAGCAGATCGATACTCAGTGAACAAAATTCTCCATCCCTGATACAGGCCATAGGAAGAACGATCTCGGCCTCTGATGTGCTCTGAGATCTTCGGTTAAGGTATCAGGGTCAGTGATATATATATATATATATATTAATAAAATAGAACCCCACCTGGTCCAGTTTAACTCTCCGATTTTATCAAAATTCTGGGAAAGTATTGGAATTAATATTTGATCATACCATTATAAGGATAAGAACGGTACTGGTAGAATAGATCTAACGCCACGTTGCTCGTCAAATGGAGGATTTCGAGCCAAGATGAAACTGTCCCAGTTCCACTGCATCAAATAGCAGCTTAGCGTTTCTCTGAATAAGTGAAATCGAAAATTGCTTGATTCTTAGCTTTTCGGACCGCCCCCGGTTGCATCCACAGCAGGCAAACGGGGCAGCAACGGTTTTCCGGAGTGCCACTATAACCGAATATTCACAATGCTTATAAACGCGCATACCCTCAGTGTTTTTCATGCCTTGGCATACAAGTGGGTGCTGAAAGCAGCGTATTTTCTCGCTCCCATAAACGCACAAACCAACTGGGGAGTGCTGTCCGCCCCTCCCCACCACCCATCCTCTTCCCATATGGGCAGAACTTGTGGGGAAATTGTGGGAGCTCGCGTCTTCTGATTGGCTGCCCAACCTTGTCATCATACTGGTTCACTCTCATCCACCTCTGGCGCACCTAGTCGGTGATTCTGCATGCATCTTACTCCCCGTTTTGGTTTCTGTCAGTCAGCCACCTAACAAGGATTTTATATTCTTAAATTATAAACCAGGATGGTTCAAATTGCTGGTAAGTTGTTTAGCAATTCTCAACTATTCATTTGACATGGAAGCCGTGTATCAGTTTGTTCATTTGAGTTGCTCTTCAGTGGAATGTTCCACCAAGAACTAGCCAATAAATCTCATGAAATCCTTGGCTGTTGTCAGTCGCATCACTTGAGTGTAAGCCCTCAATCTGCGGTTCTATTTGCGCTCTCCAAACAGGGCGCGTCTGTGTCAAAGCGATTAGCCGTCTCAGCCTCACTCCAAGAGGTCGCGCTAGATGAGTCCTCAGAACTATGAGGACATTGAAATATTTACAGGGGTTCTCAACGTCGTTACTGAAGTATTTCTCCGTAGGATTTCTTTGCGTTACTACCCTGGTGGACTGGATGCCAGATTGAATCTTCAGTTGGGTGCGCATTCAACTTTGGTATCCGAAATTTAGGGGGAAAAGACGTATAGTGTTTTTGACGCACTTTATGATGGTGTCAAAAAGCCACATGGTGTTGAAGCCTCCTACGACATTCTCTATAGATCTTTGTTCTTAACTCAGCGTTGGGACGTATTGAATGTGGCGTTCTTGTTGTCAGTTTCTATCCAGATTGCCTGAGTGAATGTCTGGAGGTGTATGCACCTCGGAATGATTGTGGTGAGCTAGCACTAAGTCCTTTCCCCGTCCACATTTACTCTTTTCTTTACCATAAGGCTTTCAAATAAATCATGGTTGTACGGCAGTGAAGCATCGGT